TTGGATGTTCAACCCATGTCCCCCATTCCCCCCATTAGTCATTACTTTTCCCCTTTTTTTTTTTTTTTTTACTTATCTCACTATTACCGTGAGAGTATATATATATATATTTAGATAATCTAATTTTTTTAAGAAACGTACTTAGAAATAATCATTTATGTAATATATATATATATACATATACTATAACTTTATTCAGCCTGCTTTTTTTTTGGACTGTCGAGTATCCTGAGTCAAACTTCTCATGTTCAACCCAATTCTCTTGGGTATCTCATTAGTCAATTTCTTTTTCTAAAATTATCATCTTAATTGATTCAAAATTGCCCCAAATGCGTATCCTTGCGGTACTCTTTTTTTAGCAGTTTCCTACTTAAACTGACTCGGAAAAATTCTGTTTCAGGAACTTTTGCTATTTTCCTTACTTCTAATATTTCTATTTTTTTTTAGTTGGTTATTTGGTCACATACCAAATATTTCAGTTTTTCATAACTAAAATATACCCGCTAAAATTTTTAACTTTTAACTAATATCTCACTATTTATAAGTGATATTTACGAATTTCCTTTGTAAGAATATTTGTATTATAACTTTACATATTTCGGGAAATTTTACCACGTACATAAAGTTTCTACCTAATATTTTTTTGATTACATCAAAATTCTACTACTTACTATTCCGGAAAGAATTTCGGTCAAATACCGGACTGTCCGGATTTGACCTAAATTTTTCCCGGTCATTACAATGAAGTTGTTTGTTAAACTTGGATTGAGTCAAGGCACACTAATAGGAAGCAATTAGACATGAGTGAGCTTGATTTATTTTAAAAATGAGAATTATATTCTAAAACGTTGCTTTCGTGATAAAACTAGTGGAGAAGATCGAGTATTAAAGCTTTAAGGAAAGCAGAGGCTAGGGTGACGAGAAGTTAGCCACATGTTTGATATTCGAAAGGTAGCATATTCTTGTCCATGTCCTTGTTAGCCTGTTTTAAGTATTTTGACTTATGGAAATGTTTTGAAGACAAAACATGATTTTAAAAAAAAAGTAGTTTGACGAAATAGCATGATTTATGGTTTTGAATTCATAATGAACTAAATTAAGGTTTAATAGAAATTTTTCTTAAATGAGATATTTTAAGAAACGATAAAATGCATGATGGCCACAGAGATCGGGATATGAGAATCATATCCTTGGGGGTAGGTCCCTAAACCCGTACGGGTCATTACGGTGGTGATATGGCCTTGCAATGGTCGTAAGTAATTTATTATTAAATTATTTGCTGGTGCCTGAAACTGGTAATTTTGGTTTATTTTCCTTTCAAAAAAAAGATGTTTGGTTCTGATTGATTTGTTCAGACTTTGAATACCTTTTATTTATAAAGTTTTCTTTTAATTTTCTAAAGTTTTTTAAAATATATCCTACTGGGCCTTCTGCTCATTTTTCTTCTGTTTTCAATGTTCTAACCACCCTCCAGAGTTAGCGGTTTAGATTCCCAGCATGGCGAGTGGATGGCAATAGATTAAAGGCGCGAGATTTGAAGTGGTTAATCTATTTTTAAATTATAGTTTTTAAATTCTGAGATGTATTGTATTCCTGTATATAAACTGTATTGGTCGATATTGTCCCAAAGTTATATAATTTTAAACTTTATAGACTGTTTTAAATATTGTTTGTAAAAGAAAAACTTTGGAGCAATATATTTTAGTATCTATTTTGGTATTTATATATTTTATTTTATTTTTCATGGATTTTCCTTAATTAATCCAGTGTAATTAAGTTACTTTTCTTTAATTATAACCCAATAATCACGGTCTCATCTTTGGGGTTGTGATACCTTTTGATTTTTACGCGATTTTATTCATGTTCTATGGACATAAAACCTGAACTACCAATAGGTTGGCCTATTGGAAAAGGTCCATAACTTTTTCATCCCAAAAAATATATGTATTTTTTATTTTTTATTTTAATTTTGTTAGTAAAGAATTTGATAGAAGCTGATGTAATGGAAGCTTATTTAAAGAAAAATGAAAAAATAAAAAGGAATAAATCAATTAGCTTGCTAATTCATATAGAATGTCAGGAATTTGGGAGAAAATTGAGAGCATACTCGAAATTTTATCTAGCTAAAATGGTTTTCATTACAAGAGGATGTCTTAATATATAAGCAAAACGGAAACTGAAAACTAATCTATCCTGAAAAAGAAATGAAAATATGAAATTTTCCAAACAAGGAAACTTTTGAACTAGGAACAAGAATTGAAACTGCCAAACACAAGGAAAAGGAAGAGCAATCAGAATAAAATCTAAATTTTTTAATCAACTTATTACAAAAATAAAAATTATTAAAAATAGGAAAAAGGCCCTTTTAAAGGTATAAATTGTGGAATTTACCCAAAAAATGTCTCACTTCGTGGCGAAGCGACGGGTTTTGTTCGTTGAGCCGTTTCATCTAGAAAATACATATTTTTCGTCCAAATCTGACATCGCCATAAGGCCCCATAAAAACTGAAAAATTTACCTTATTTAGCTTTGCGACATTCTTAATGCACCATAAAAGTGAGATCCTTCTGCACCGCATGAGAAGCTCTTGATAGATTGTACTAGCATTTATAATTTATTTAAGACATTTTTTATAAATAAATTATAGTTGAATATACATATGTGTCTATGTATATATCTTTTATAAAAATGAGAAAATATTATCTCTAAAATAAATCTAAAATAATTAACACTAAATTGTAAACAAACATTTTGCTATATGTGAAAAAAAAAAAAAAAAAAAATTATACGATTCCAAGCGCAAAGTTCGAACTAGTGTATATCAAAAGAAATAATGTTTAGTCAACAAGGACAGGGAAGAAATGAAGCTTCAGTTCTCTGTAAAGCCCTTAACGCATTTTTTGTTTTGATATCTTTTTTTTTTTTTTTTTGGATATTTCAAAGTTAATGATATTCAGCCTAATTTTTAGATTGTTGAACCTAGTAACATTGGAGCTCCATTTATTTCCGAAAGAGTACTTGCAAGGGCAAGGCGGAACCACACCTTCCCAAGAGTATACGGCAACCCACCTGAATTATTTTTCTTTTAATGTTGTATGAGTATCGTGTTAAAATTTGTTTTTTCCCTTAAAAATATGAAATTATATATCTTTGCCTTCCCTTCAAAATTAGAAATTAATATCTCCGTGCTTACTCTCAATTTTCTGGCTTCGTCCCTGTGCATGGTCTCAAATAGGTGTTGTTCTTCATTCTTGCTGCCTATTAGTTATCATATTGGCCGCTTTTTTCCCTTTGTCGTCGTTTCTTACATCATCATTATCTTTAAGTTCTGGCTGTACACATGAAAGGTGAATGTCGCACTCTCCATCCTCGTCGTTTTTCATTTCTTGTCGTCTCATATTAAATGTGGTTTTTTCAATTTTGTCGTTTTCTCCATGGTTGTCTTTTATTCTTCCCTTCCCTATCGCCTCGCATTCCGGATTCACTTTATTGTTGTTGTTGAGAAAATATACGTGCGTTGTTTCGTATAGAAAGTAAATGAGGATGTGAAATAGTTTATATATATATAAAAATTTTAGATTTAATAAATTAATTTTTTAGATTAAGTTGGACTCTTAAAGTATATTAGGTCAGTTTCACATGTAGAGTCTCTCCAATAAGTGATATCAGAGCAATCACATTTGGTTGTAGTTCCTACGTTACCTCTCGTGGAGAATTGGTATTCCTGCAGTTGGTGCTGATGCAGATATGGATGGTGGAGTATTTGGTAGACTCGCATGGTTTCGTTTCTCTTTTCCATACTTGAGTTGGCTCCAACACACATGAATGGGAGATTGTTGAGAAATGCGAGTTTTGGCTCTCTTTTCCATGTTTGAGTTGGCTCGGTACACATGAAGGGGAGATTGTTAAGAAAAGTATATGCGTGTATTATCTCACATGAAAAGTGAATGAAGATGTGAAGTAATTTTAGACCCAATAGATTAATCTTTTAGGTCAAATTAGACTCTAAAAGTGTGTTCAGCAAGTTTTACACGTGGAGTCTCCCTAATAGTTGTATCTTCTTACTTGTCGTTAACGCTGTTATCATTTCATATGTACTTATTATCTATTATAGTGTCCTAGACTTTTAGAAACTAGGCCCTTTGTTTGCACCAGTAAACATTCATTAATGAAAACTGCACAATTGGCTTAAAAACCTAATGGAACAAAAACCAGAGCATAAAACAAAATAAAAAAACAAGAAAGACGTAAGATTAGCTTTTTCGTACCAACACTTATGGAAAACACGACTCTACATCTGAACCTGCCAATCTTATTTCAGCAAAAGCAAACTAAACAACCTATTTATGAAAACTACGAAATTGGCTTAAAAAGCTTGGAAGAAAAAGCAGAGCATGATACAAAATCAGAAGGGGAAATAAAACATGTTCTCTTTCCTATATATTCTACTAAGAACACTGAACATGCTGCGCTCTTGTCATGGGATTACTCCCGGAAGAAAATCACATTGTCCTCGTGGTCATCAAATATGTGGAGAAATCTGGGAATTGGAGGTAGGCTCACGTCCATAATTCCCTCAAGCATTTGAACTACTTGACTCATGGATGGCCTATGAGCTTCATCATCTTGGATGCACCAACAAGCAACTTTACACACTCTTT